ATGCGCGCGCGTAGTGGAAAATTTAAAAAAAATTTGAAATGCTCAAAATGGCCAAAAACGTTTTCTAATTTAGTCAAAAAGTGATTTTAAGCATTTTGAAAGTTTGACGCACGCGTGCGCGCGCGTTCATAAGCGCACACGTAAAATTAGGGTACTGTACATTCAACATTAACCCAAAGTTAATGCTCACTTAATACGATTTCGAAATGGCAATTGGTTAGGCTGATATGATCGATAATGTAAAAACGCAAAATTGCGCGTAGATGACGTCACGCATGACTGAGCGCGTTAAAAAGCTTACCATGACTATTCCAGACCAAGCCAAATGTCCGTTGACAGCGATTGTGCGGTAAGTCGTGGCAGTTTTTGAGATATCGTGCGAACAGAAAATGGGAGAAAGAAAGAAGAATAAAAAAAAGATGAAGATGATGATGATCCTGACAATAACAATAGGTGATCCGCACTAGTTGCGGATCACCAAAAAAAGATGTTGATCCTGACAATAACAAGAGGCGGATCACCAATAAAAAAAAAAAGTATTATGGCTTGTCTGTACTAAAGTATACAATACTGCTACATTTCTTATTCTAATTACCAAGTTTACTATTTAGCGACAGTACACTGGTTTTGGGATGGTAACAAAATTCTTATTTATTTTATAGATTATTTTGTCTACTTTAAGTTGAAAATTAGAATGATATTTCCCAATACCAAATACAAGCCATATAAATAATTACATGATAATTTCTAATAAGAACTTGTAAATTTGTCAAAACTTAATTGTTTTGATCTCAGCTTCATTGTGAGTTGGTAACTGGTTTTAAATGAACAATTCAATGACTTAATTGAATCTTTGAGAGATAAAATTCCCCCTGCCAGCTGTGGAGATCTCTAGGTCCCTGGTTCAATTCCCATCGCTGCCTCTCCTTGTGTTTCAGCTAGAGGGCTGAAATACAATAGTGCACCGTTTTTCGGAAGAGACGTTTAAGTCGTTGGTCCCGTGTGCATTTATGGCCCACATGCACGCTAAAGAACACAGTACACTCTTCAGAAAAGAGTAGGGGATTGTTTCCCGGTGTACTGGTCAATCACCACCAGAAAGACCCCACTGGAAATAAGTCTTCTTCTAGACTTTCGTGGGCTATCCTTGGTGTTTTTACTGAATAAATCCAATCCAATCAAAGGAGTAGTGGAATGAAAATAGATTTTGAAAATGTTAACATTTCAACATGTTTTGGCCATAATCTCCTAAACATGATTGATGAGGAGTGACCAGTTGTGTACACCAAATTGAACTGCTTATTATAACTTACGCAAGCTCTTTTAGGAGCTTGGGGGGGGGGGACCCTGAACACTCCCTAGATACCTTGGTAAAGACAATCCAAGTAAATAAGGCACTCTCTTTAATTAGTATGATTATGAATTGACAAAGTTTCAAAAATAAAGATTTATTATTTTTTTTTAAATTACAGTACACATTTATTTTTAGGTCAAGCTGTCAGCTTCTATAATTTTCAGAATTCATTTTTACTTTATAATTTAATCACATGTAATTGCTGGACTGACTTAACTTTTTTTTACAACTTCTTCCTCAGAACTTGTTCTTTTTCTCTCTCTTACATACTTGAAAAATGAATTCAAATTTTAAAATTTGGGGAGTATTCCTGATGTTGATGATAGTTGAACAGAAGACCACATTAAGTGATAACACCAAAGTTTCTTCAAATTCAACAACCAAACTTCCTTCTAATTCGACGGCCAATGAAAACAATGATAGTGGTGACAGCATTATCATCCTGGTTGTTTTTGCAACGACATCAATTTTCTCACTAACTTTATTTGTTGTATTTTTTATGGTGTGCTGCCTCAAAAATTGCAACAACAAGCGACAGTTAAACATACAGGGATTAAACAGCTCAACTCTCAAAACCAGAGCATTTAAAATGTACCACAATGAGCTGATCCCCAAGAAGAACAACAGTAAAGATGATAACACTGCTGATCACGTATACGAGGACCCAAAGCTTATGAAGCTTGAAGAAGAGTACATGTACGCAGACCAAAATGTCCTGGAGCTCATGAAAAACTATGAGAAAACAGTGTTGCAAGAATCGACCTCTGTGGGTACCAAGGAGAAACTCTCCCTTGGAAAACCACTTTCAAAAGAAAAGACGTCAATTCAGAAAGAAAATGAATACTATGTAAATGGAATGTTGTCCCTGAAAAGAACGACTAAAAATAAGGATAAACAAAATAAAGCTAAAAAGAAATAGAAAGTCCATTTACTTTTTTAATAAGTGTTGTTTTGTGACAAAATGAGTCTTGTTGAACGCTAGGTCAATTTGATATACCGGTATTCAAGAATATGAAGTGATATTTTGATAAAAATTTGGTTTCAATGTTTTAAATAAATCCAATATGATCTTACCACGGTTGTACTCAAGCAAGGGACCCGATTCTGAGAATAAAATAAAGCTTATCCATCTATGTAAACAGATCGATAACTCATTCTTCATTTTTTGTACAAGACTCACTTTGTCATGACAGCTCACATATAATTGAATGCTAAAAGCTAGCTAATATAATCCACTCCAGGCTTGACATTACCTGACATTTAACCTCAGCAATCTCTATAATTTATAAAAACTGTTCTATTTTATTAAGGATCTTTAGAGAAGGGCAAAAAAAAAAATTAAGAAATTTTTTTTTGTCATTTAGCAAATTGGATTTGCCAATTAGGTGGACGAGGAAATAAAAATAAAATTTAATGAAGAAATAAAAATAGTGAGCAGGTGTGAAAAAAATAGATTCTCACACAAAATGTTATCATGGTCATAAAGAATAATGGTACAATGTAAACAGTAATGGCAAAACATTTTAAATACCTTCTTTAACAAACTTATATTCATTATTTTAAAGAACATCTGAGGATGCTAGACAAAAAATAAAAATAAAATTTTGTTTTCTTACTTTGTGAAAATGATTTTGCAAAAACTTCTAGGTGCAGAAGAAAATAAAAATTGAATTATATTGATAAATGTAGTAATGATTGATTGATAAATGCTTTAATTTATATAATCAAGAAATATACGTAATTTATTTTGGATATTTTTGATTTTCATTTCCGTGGCAGAGAATATGCTAACTGGCCAAAAATTAAATTTCATTTTTATTCCAAAGCACCATTATTGTAGTCAGAGGGTTCGCTAAAGAGGGTATAAAAAGTCTTGCCAAAGTAATCACATTTAATATTGACAAAAACATTTTTCAGGGAAATTTCAAGGCGGCATCGGGCACGCTGGAATTTTTAATCTTTTGCAGTGGCGGGTGATCAACGAGCCAAAAGTAAAATTTGATATTAATTTAAAATCGTCATTATTAGCGGGAGGTGTGTTGCAAACAAAGTTTAAAAAATCTTGTTGATCACAATATTATCCAATTGTTATTAAAATTAAAAGAATTCTAAATTAAAATAGATGAAGAAACAAAGGCAGGACAGTTTGTTAAAATGTCACATTTCAAGTGTTAACTAATGAAAATTAATACCTCATGAACTTAGGTCTGTAGATCTAGTGATGTTTTGGAAAGTAATTAAGTATAAACAAGTAATAAAATAAAGTTAAAAAAACTAAATAACTTTTTGGCTCTAAAATAAAACCTTTTGGTGCAGCTACTCTTGAAATTAAAATTGGAGACATCGTTCTTCTATTTGTTGATAGTTTTAAGTATCTTTATGATGTGGTTTGATCCCACTCTAACTTTATATGTTTTGAAAAGATGTGTAATAACCAAATAGAATTCTTTATTTTCAGCATTATCTTGACAATGCCTCACTATTAATGCTTTATAAATCCCTGGTGTTTTTAATTATGCAGATGTTGTCTGGGAGAATGAGGTTAAATGTTACTTTAATATTAAAATCAAATCCAGATTTTGCAAAAACCTGACTGAGTGAAGCGATTATTGTTTAAAAAAAGGTTTTTAAACAACTTGAACTTGAACTCGCCCATACATTAGTATATTTACTCCCTTGGGAAGAGTTCTTTCACTACACCAGAGGTAGCTCTCAGGGACGGATCCAGAGATGTCCGAAAGGAGGGCCGAAAATGGATCTAATCGAGATAACACTACCCTAGGGGCTTTCTAGACGCCCAAAAATAACATCCGAGGCGTATTGAGCAACAAATTTTTCCTTTTTCTTTCTTTCTTTCTTTTTTCTTTTTATTCCTTTACTTTCCAAAAGGGAAAGTGTCCCAGAGCCAGCCTGCCGCCACCCTTCCTCTTAATTCTGCCACTGGCTCTGAAGGAATGCTAGTTCTTCCTAAATACTATGAGATACACTGGTAGGAGTTTTCAATTCAGAGGAAGCCAACTCTAATAAACTTTTTCCAAGGGAGTAATAGAGAATTTTTACTTTTTATTAATTTTTTCATTGACTAGGATGTATACAGTGCCTTAATTAAATACAAACATTTTATTTGCATAAATACTATAGTTAATATAATGTTTGCGGTACACCACGCAGATAGTTCTGAAAAAACTGATGTTGTGTCATGTGAATGTGCTACTGTATTTTATGCCCCTGTTCACATGTAGGTGCCACACCCCATTGACATGTAAATTACTCACAGGTAAGACACCTTGGCTCTTAGTGAGTTGGGTAGTCATTGAGTATGGTAAAGGTTTTACGTTGGGTCAAAAACATTGTTTGATAAACCAGGAACAAATAATAGTACAGTACGGGTAGATATTGATGATAGAAATGGATGATGTAACTTAGCTGTAAACATTACAACAGCTATACTCTAAGAAGCTTTTAACGACAGTTTGCAAGTAATGAATACTATTATTGTAAAATGTTTTGTACTTCTCGGCCTGTGATTATAACTCCATTATATCTATGGATAACCTGTTGGCACGTTGCGTTGTACATATTGATAATCCACTCCTTCAAAGCCTGTATTGGAATTTGTTGTGTTGGAAGCTTCACGTGGTATTCAAATGTGCTTTTGCGAATTACAGCCTGGAACAGTAGTACCAATTCAAGCTGATAAGTATTGTGGACGATTAAGTTAAATAATTGAAATCTGAATACATGTTAATATTCTATTATATGTTCAGTTTAAGGTTACACATGTAAAATTACGTATGGTTCATTATTACATAGAAAAGATGATATGAGGTTTATGACAAATAAATTTATAAATAGTAACATTTGTTGGTTGAGAATGTCTTAACGTTATGATTGAGTTGCTTCATCCTTCAGGAAAATAATATCTGCAGGTATTCCAAAACTGTTTGGGTATTATGAAACTAATTAATATTATCAATACT